ACACACACACACACACACACATTATTCTCCCGTCACGTTGTCACACTCTTTTATATACCAGCCTACCCTATCTAGTAAATACTAGAGCATTCGCCAAGGTACGGGATAGTTCTAGAAACTAGAGGGCGTGAGAATAGTCACGTGATCTCGATGACGCAACAGTATCATATAACAGTTAAACTGCATACACAACGTATGACTCGTACCGAGTTACGTAACAAAACTTGACATAACGAGTACTTTAAAATAATTAACTTTTAACACTTGTTATGAAAACTAAATAATAATTATATATCAAATCACTAAATAAACTAAATAATATCTCTTAAACTAAACAGTCTTGTATATCCAACAACACTAGTAAACTATCAAGGTTATACAAGGTAAGTATAATGAAGAAACTCAACCGTTTCAGTAATTCATCTCACTAGCATTTTGTAACTTCTACAACTGACATATCCACTTACGGTTACTAAAACATTTGCCCCAGGTCATTCACGTTGAGAAAGTGTATATATTGGTCAATAGTTCGTATATCATGGACAGATAACATTGAATATCCGGGTCTCTTATCTGGCTGGTTAACATACAAGGTAATAAGCTACCGTAGACCTTCTGTAACACAAACACTTATCTTTATTTACTACTTCTAAACTTTTAAGAATGCCTCCAACATTTTATTGAGATATATGCTGCTCATACTTATTTTTGTGTTTCGCTGAGAAATAACCAAGAAAATAGAGTTAGGTAACTAACTATTCATCAATACTGATTTTTTTAAATCAGCTGTTAACAGAATATATTTTAATACTTGTTTATATGTCATGTTTTAGAGCTTAGACGATAGGCTTTTTCTATGATCATGACAGTGCTAGGATTACCCTTACATTACCATATCTCTTTTATATTTAGTAACTGAATAATTTAATGAAGGTATTTTATTTCTTTGTTGTCTTCCCGTGGTGTGTTTAATGCTGTTTTTGATCCCAAGTACTTTTGTATATAGTTCATGCGAGGTCAATCTGTGGAGCCAAAACTATAGCTTATGTGATTTATAGTTTATAGAACAATGATGTCTATTCCTACCCTCTTGTGTCATTGATAAATTTTTACAAATGCTTTAGGAAGAATAATGCTAAGTTAGAGTATTAGAAATCCAAATGCTGATTTTTGACGTATTCTCAAACGGTATTGACTCAGACTTCTCAGCTGTATGTTGATCACCTGTACTAGCCTCATGTGTCTCTACGGATATAGGAAATACAATTATAGTATTAATATTCATAATGCAAGCTAATTACAGAATTTTGGTAAAATCTTTAGAATAAAAGAGAAAAATGGGAACTTCAAATTAAAAAAACATTCTGTACACAAAAACATTTTTAAGAGTTTTTGTTTCATATTTTTAGAATATTAGCAAATAAAAGCAGCGTATATTATAAAAATACCAACTACACAATTGCATAGCGTCTGTATTGACAATATGCTGTAACAGCACAAAACCAAGTTAAGGAAGTGAATGGGAGAAATTAATAACTTTTCATGATAATTCATAAACGTTTTTGCAGTCAATTCCACACACATACTTGCTTATAACTTACGTGTATGTGGCATAAGAGTTTCTGTTTGAATCATTGCACTCAAATAATACTCTTTATGCATCTGCACTTTCATCTGAATAAATGATGTAGTACTATGTAATTATATACGGTAATCCTAAGAAGTTACGACTGAAATTAAGGATAACAATATGTGAACTATATTATGTCTGCTGTATCCACTAGCGACGAGACCTTTCACCCAATGGGAAGGCTCAACAGACTGACTGGAATTCGGTTTCAAAAAGTCTTATTTTCTGTACGGGGTGTGTCCCTGAGCACTGTATGATGTCACGTGGCATTTTTATGGTCAATGTCATAAAGGTAAATACACGATAACCAGCCATTCTACTTATAAACAAGTTATAGGAAAATATCATAGACTAGACATATTCATTGTGGCACCACCTCGGAAGAAGTGTCGCAAATGGCCAATTTCGCCAAGCTATAAAATGTTTTATTAAAACCTGATGTACAGATTTTATTACATACATGTAAATGTTCTATAATTACACCTTTTGATGACTGTTAGTGCAAAATATAGGTCATTACACAAGTACAGTAAAGTAATTGTCCAACGTTAACACTTGCTTGAGAGAAGGTTTAAACAGGAGAGAATATATTTGAAAGTCGTTGTTAATGGACTGCATCTGACTAGGAAGTTCTGGACGATGTTTCGAGCTGTTAGCGCAGATCGAAACATCGTCCAAACCTTCCTAGACAGATGCAGTCCATTAACAACGCTTTTCAAGTAAAGTTTGTTCTCTAGTCGGAAATGAGTTATTTCATTACTCCCGAGAATATGTTAAACATATTCACAGATTTTTTTATTTTAATTCTTTTTTTATTTATTATCTGTAATTAATAACTGGTCTGGCGTAAAAAACTTCATTACACGATAGTAACAATCACTCATGTCGAATGAGTTTATTTTACGTTTTGTTTTATTAAACCGTTATTTAGAAAACAATAATGTAGAAATAAATCAATGTAAAAAAAAATATGGCAGTCACCAAATAATAATAAACCTGGTGGTATATTATTTTAAATCACTAACTTATGGTGACATTGAATACAAATAAAAATAGTTAAGAAATAGTTGCTTACAATGTATAACATTACATTGCCAATAAATAACATAAGCATTTTACATACTCTAGGGACATAAGAAGTCTTATTTCATTTGCCCGGCATGGCCAGGTGGTTAGGGGACTCGACTCGTAATCTGAGGGTCGCGGGTTCGAATCCTCGTTACACCAAACATGCTCGCCCTTTTAGCCGTGGGGGCGTTATAATGTGACGGTCAATCCCACTATTCGTTGGTAAAAGAGTAGCCCAAGAGTTGGCGGTGGGTGGTGCCTTCCCTCTAGTCTTACGCTGCTAAATTAGGGATAGCAGATAGCCCTCGTGTAGCTTTGCGCGAAATTAAAAAACAAACAAACAAACTTACTTCATCAGTGAACACTCAGTAAACCAGATTTATTCGCAGAGTAACAAGAATCATGCATACAACTGTTGTGTTTAGACATCTGGAATAATTATGATTTATGAAACTCATGTTTTCATACATAACTATCGGAAATAAGTACAACTTGTAAAACTGATGCTTTCAAATATAACTATCTGAAATAATTATGACCGATA